ATAGAGCTGTACAACGCTCCCGAGGGCCGCTACAAGCAGGACGTGTACTTGCTGCCTAAAAAAATGGGTAACCATGTTCCTGCTGCCTTCTCCTCATGGCTCTTGGGCTGGAATGGCTGGGAGGTGACCCTGGGCCAGGCTGGGTCACCGTCACAGCCGGGAGGTGACCCGGCCAGGCTGGGTCACTGTCACAGCCAGGAGGTGGCCTTGGCCAGGCTGGGTCACTGTCACATCTGGGAGGTGACCCTGGGCCAGGCTGGGTCACTGTCACAGCCGGGAGGTGGCCCTGGCCAGGCTGGGTCACCGTCACATCTGGGAGGTGGCCCTGGGCAGGCTGGGTCACTGTCACATCTGGGAGGTGACCCTGGGCCAGGCCGGGTCACCGTCACATCTGGGAGGTGACCCTGGCCAGGTTGGGTCACCGTCACATCTGGGAGGTGACCCTGGGCCAGGCTGGGTCACTGTCACAGCTGGGAGGTGACCCTGGGCCAGGTTGGGTCACTGTCACATCTGGGAGGTGACCCTGGCCAGGCTGGGTCACCGTCACGGCCGGGAGGTGACCCTGGGCCAGGCTGGGTCACTGTCACAGCCGGGAGGTGACCCTGGCCAGGCTGGGTCACTGTCACATCTGGGAGGTGACCCTGGCCAGGCTGGGTCACTGTCACATCTGGGAGGTGGCCCTGGCCAGGCTGGGTCACTGTCACAGCCAGGAGGTGACCCTGGCCAGGCTGGGTCACTGTCACATCTGGGAGGTGACCCTGGGCCAGGCTGGGTCACCGTCACAGCCGGGAGGTGACCCTGGGCCAGGCCGGGTCACCGTCACAGCCGGGAGGTGACCCTGGGCCAGGTTGGGTCACTGTCACAGCCGGGAGGTGACCCTGGGCCAGGCTGGGTCACCGTCACATCTGGGAGGTGGCCCTGGCCAGGCTGGGTCACTGTCACAGCCGGGAGGTGGCCCTGGCCAGGCTGGGTCACTGTCACAGCCGGGAGGTGGCCCTGGCCAGGCTGGGTCACTGTCACAGCCGGGAGGTGACCCTGGCCAGGCTGGGTCACTGTCACATCTGGGAGGTGGCCCTGGCCAGGCTGGGTCACTGGGGATGGGCCTCACCCCTGCCCGCAGAGCCCCTCCCGAGCACACGGCCACCCTGGGCACGCTTTGGTGGGAGTCGGGGTTTTTGAGGCAGGGCTGGCTTATCCTGATCTTGGGGCGAGGTGACACCTCCCAGAGACGTCAGGTGGGCTGTGCCTCATCCCGGGGGACCCGTGTGGCCTCCGTGCCCGGCTGTGACGAGGCCTGGCCCCCTTTGCCCTCCCGCAGACGAGTACGTGGCCAGCCTGCACCTGCCCACGTTCGACGCGCACCTGACGGAGCTGACGGACGAGCAGGCCAAGTACCTGGGGCTCAACAAGAACGGACCTTTCAAACCCAACTACTACAGGTGCCCTCCCGTGCCCTCCCTGTGCCCTCCCAGTCCCCTCCCAGCCCCCTCCCAGTCCCCTCCCAGTCCCCTCCAGTCCCCTCCTGTGCCCTCCCAGTCCCCTCCTGTCCCCTCCTGTGCCCTCCTGTGCCCTCCCAGTCCCCTCCAGTCCCCTCCCGTCCCCTCCCAGCCCTCTGCTCCTGCCCCGCGTGGGGGATGCCTGTGGGGGCAGAGGGGCCGGGGTTCAGCCCCACTCCGACCCTGGGAGGATTCCCAGGTCTCTGCTCAGACAGCAGGAAGGGGGTGGTGCAGCTGGAGCGGTGACAGGAGCGCTTGGCAGGACAGGAGCCCTTTGTGCGTGGCAGCAGCTGTCACCCAGACGTGGCAGATGCCAGCGCGATGCCACCGGCTCGGTGGCAGCTTTATTTTTAAAGTTTGACGGAGGATGAGGTGGCACAGAGCGGCCTCGGCCCCGGGGCTGCTCCCACGGGCTCAGCTCCATGGCTCCTTCCTGAGCACAGGCTGGGCAGATCCCCAAAATAATAATTTTCAGTAGGAGCCCCTGGATCGCTTCCCTTTCCACATTTTTTAGCCAGTGCTGCCTTGAATTTCCACTGTGAAAATGAAATGGCTTTGCACAAATGTGGGTCTGCTTGGGAGGGTGAAGCCCAGATCCTTTTCCTGCTGGAAAAGGGATTTTCTTGGCAGGCAGAGAGCACCGGAACACTCCCAGTTTGGGGATTACTGGGTTTTCCCAGATCCTGAGCTTTTTTTTTCCATTGCAAAATCCTGGTGCTTCCCCGTGGCTGTGCAGGGATTCCCTCTGGTTCGGTTCTCTGTGCCTGGTTTTGGTGCCTGGCACTGCCCAGCCTTGCTGGGAGCGAGGTTTGTCCTGGAGAGGTTGGGATCCGAGGGTCTCGGGAATTCCTGCGCTGAGGGGGAGCCACGACCCCTCCAACTTCCATGGGCACCTCGGGGGCGGCGAGGACCGAGTCCCTTCCTCAGCCATTTCTGTCCTTGGCGTCTCCCCCTGCCAAAATCCACCGTGGCGATGCCGGGGCAGCTCCTCATCCCTTCCCCACTCGGCAAAGCCCCGTTTTTCCTTCTTTCCCCAGATACTGAGTTCCTGCCGCCGCATCCCGGAGAATCGCCAGGAGCTGCGACAAGCACCCGAGTCTTTCTCAACTACTGTACAGGATGAAACCGCGCAAGCTTCCCACGCTAGAGCCGGGCTTGCTGCCATAGTCGACAGTGTGTTTTAGGTTATTTATTTATTAAATTAGGATACTGTTCACGTGGCCTCTGCCACTGGTGTTCGTCCTGCCGCGGGACTGGGAGACGCTGGATTTTCTTTCCGTTCCTTTCATTTTCCTCTTTGGGTTCGTTCTTTTTTCGGGGCTGGGAGGAGGGGGAAGGCGAGGAGGAAGCTGCTGGAATCGAGCCGTGGAATAGTCCCTTGTCCCTGCTCACCCCCGCGCACGGCGGGACCCGGCCTGGCAGCCAGGGAATCCCCGGCCGTTCGACAACAGAGCCAAACTCCTCGTGGGCTCCGGAGCTGCCTCGGGAGCAGAGAAGCCTCTCCGCCTCTCCGTGTGCCCTGGAAGTGCCCGGGGCCGTGCCCGGCCGGGGAACCTCGCCTTAGCACTGCCCGGAGCCGTGCCCAAGGGTCAGCGCCGGCCCGGGGAGATCCCCGAGCGCTCCCCTGGCCGCAGCCCCGCGGCGTTTTCCTGCTGCTGTCGTTCCGAGTGCCAACCTCTCTGGATCAACCAAAGTCGTGTTCCCGGCGGGGCCGGGGCAGCCCCGCGCTGCTGGAAGGGGCTCCTCGCCCACCGATGCTGCTCACGCGCCGGCGGCTCCGCCACGCCGAGCGGAGCTCGCCCGGCCGCCCGGCTGGGAGGACCCAGGTCCTTCTCCAGCTGAATTTCGGAGTTTTGTTTTCTGCTCACATTTGTACGAATCTGGAATTCCCCTTTGGAATGTATGAGACGCCCGCCGGAGCGACCCCCGCGGATTCTGTGCGAGGGGAGAGTTCAGCATCGCTGAAACCCTTTGGTCACCTCGACGTGTCAGAGCCGATGGAGACTAAATTTGCCAGAGTTCCCTGTTTTATCCCAGGATGTCCCAGCTGAGCACAGGACAGCGTGACCCGTAGCAAGGTGACTCCCCAAGTGCCGGTGTCTGCGTGGAGTCACTCCTGTCCCTCGTGGAGAACGTGATCCTGCTGAAATAAAACTGCCCAGCCCCCTGAGCACAGAAGCCTCTGTCCTCCCTGTTGGCTCCGGAGTCTCTCCTCGGCTGCAGATCCGTGTTTTGTCCTCCTGGGCTTCTTTGCTGTCATGGAGAACTTTTTTGTGGCAGCTCGTTCACGCACAAGGAAGGGAAAACGGAGGAATTGCATCCTCACGTCCTTCCCACGGCTCTTAGGAGATTTGGAGTCAGGTTGGCCACAAGTCGCTCCTCTCCAGAGCAAATGCTCCCATGTGCCGGCTTATTCCAAGCTTCTCTTTGAAATCTCTCAAAATCAGGAAGGAAAACCTTGAGAAGAGCTTGAGGAAACCTTGAAGAGGGCCTTGGGAAGGCGTCAGGGCTTTGCCAAGGCCTTGTGGAGACCTTCAGGCTTCGAGAAGCTTCCGGGAGACTGATTGCTAACCACAGACTCGCTCTCTGCTCGTTCATTTTTCCCCGATCCCGAGATGTTCTGGGAAGAATCCCCTGAGCTCTTTGAAACATCACACCCAAGGCTTTCTCCCCAAGCTGGATCCTGGTCTGTCAGCCCCTGCTGTTTTCTGGGAGCTGCTCCTGGCCCAGGGGAGATGCAGCTGTGGGAAGAACGGGAATCCCATCCCAACCCAAGCACAGCCACTTCCCCCTGGAAAAGCCCCTTTCATCCTGACCCCTCTCATCCCCAGAGCTGCCTCCCGCCCTGTGCCTGCTCTGCACAGCCCCAGATCCCTCCGTGCCCCGTTCTAACCTCCTTTTATCTTCCAGGTAGATAGGAAGGGAAAAAAAATATATATATTAATACTAAAATCCCAACTGGCTTTTCCCACCTCGATTTTTAAAGCTCTTCTCCATGTTCTGCTTCTCCTGTAAAAGCTTATTGGCTCGCTTGGCTTTTTTCCTAATCAACCTGGAATCATATCCTATGATCATCTCTAAATTAAACGTGTAATGGGGTTTGGTTTCTTTTTTTTTTAAATGTAACACATTTTTCAAGACTTAGGAAAAAAGGAGATTTTAGGTAACACCAGCAAAATCGCATAAAGGAAATTAATTCTGTTCTGAACTTTAGAGATAATAAGACAAAAGTCGTCCTCAGCAGTGAGGAAACGAAAACGTCGCAACCGTAACATTTCAGAAGGATGTTTTAAATATTAATGTCTGAGTGATTGTATTAGATCAGCAATAAAGACTCTGTAATCTCAAAACACAAATAAAACATTGGAAAACTCAGCCTCTCCTGAGCGTCCTTGGGGTCAGGCGGGGGCAGACCGGGATTTTGGGGCGGAGGGGGACAAGGAGGGATCAGGGATGCTGGTGGGATGGGAGGGGTTGTCCCCAGAGCCTTGAGCTCCTGCTGTTTCCAGATGATTCCAGCTGGGGAAGCGGCTCCGGGGCCGCGTCCTTGGGCAGCCGGAGCTGTCTGAGCTCCTGGGCTGCTGTGTCCTTGGGAAGCGGTGGGAAGGATCCCGGTGCCGTTATCTCCTCTGGAACAATCCCGTTATCTGCTCTGCTCCCGCCCTGCCTCGCTGCAGCCACGGGAAATTCCGACCCGACCCTTGGCGTTTCCAGCTCTCCAGAGGCTCTGAAGGGATGTGGGACATGAGGGGCACCGAGATCGGCCACTCGGTACCTCCCCGGCCACAAACCTGCACAGTTACCCCAAAACCAGCCGGCCCCATTACTGGCTGTGGGAATGGAAATCCTGCTCCAGGGCCCCGGGAGCTGCCTGGCACCGAAACGGGGACGGCGGGGCTCGGACGCCTTGGGGTGCCTTGGGTGCAGCCCCACAGGTGCCCCCCGGCCCATCCATGGCCACCCCCTCGTTACCCCACGGGCACCTCTGACACCCCGGCTCCCGCCCTGCTGCCCCGTGCGCTCCAGGGACACCCCACAACGCCCCCATGGCAGCATTCTGGACTCCAAGGACACCCTACAAATCCTCCTTCCATCCTCCCAGCAGTGCAGGGACACCCTACGAATCCCTTCCCCAGCATCCCCCGTTCCCGACCCCTCCAGCCCAGCCCCGGTCCCGGGATCTCCCCGGGATCTCCCCGGGATCATCCCGGCCCCTCCGCCGCTACCCCGGGCCCCGCCCCGTCCCGCTCCGGACCAATGGCGAGGCGGGGGAGCGCCCTGAGGCCACGCCCCCGCTCCCGGCGGACCAATAGGCGTGGCGGGGCGTGGCCCGGCCCGGCCCCCACGTGCTGGCGGCGGCCGCGGGATGGAGGCGGCGGGAGGCGGCGGAGCCCCGGGCCCGGCCCGGGCCCGCCCGGGACAGCCCCAGCCCCAGCCACAACCACAGCCACAACCCCAGCCACAGCCCAAGGGCCGGGAGCTCTTCAGGAGCCAGCGCAAGGAGTCCGAGGTAAGAGCGCGGAGCTCGCTGCCGGCACCCCCCGGGCTCCACCGGGACCTGCTGTGCCGTAAGGGATTCCCTGCTCCGGGGCTGGGGTTCCTGCGGAAGGAGCCTCATCCAGGAGTGGGGGTGCTCCCGGTCTTGGGGGTGCTCCCCGGCCCCAACTGGACGCTTTAGGGGTCCTGCGGGGGTGGCTTTAGCGTCCTGCGGTGCCCAGCCCGGAGCGGGAGTCCCCAGGGGCGCTCCGCGGCACTGCCACCTCCCCGCTCCACGCCCAGACGCAGCTGCAGAGTTTTGGGGTGCTGGCTCAGCCCCAGCACCGGCACCTCCCAGCCCCACGCCCAGAGGCGGCAGAAAGGTTTTGGGGACCCACCTGGGCACTGGGCTCCCCCACACTCTGCAGGTTCCCCTTTGCCCCTCACCGAGGTGCGGGTGCCGCTGTCCCCTCCTGCCCCAATAACTCCGGGGCGCGGGGGAACCACCAAACCCCGCTGGGCTGCTCTGCCCCAGCTGCGCCCGAGCGGCTTCGTGAGTGCCAGGCTGGGGAAGCAGGACCGGGATCGCCTCACCGGGATCCCACTGGGATCTGATGTCCCCGGCCACCGTAAAGCCACCTCTGGAGCCCCCTAACCCCAAAAGGGTCCCTGGGAACGGTGTCCAAGTCGTGCTCTACAACTCGTGAATTTGGGGTTTGCTTTGCTCCCCCGGCTCGGTCTCTCAAAGCGGATTAGGGCTGCACGTGCTTCGCCGAATTCCTCGCCAGCTTTAACCGCCCGAGCCTCCCCGCCGGCTGGGCTGCAGAAATTGGGTGAGAAAACAGCGTTTCTGAGCAAGTCGTGCTCATCCCGGAGCCGCGCATCCTCCTGGGTCTTCAATATTAATCGCCACGATGCGCATCAGTTGCAGCCCGGCTGCCGAGGAGAGCTGCTGAGACTCGGAATGGGGAATTATGTTAATTTTCGTTGATTACCCATTCATGTGTTCCCTTACCCGGGGCAGGGCGGCGCGGTGCCGGCCTTGGGTCGTCTGGCTGCGGCTGCCTGCTCGCTGCCCCGCCGGAATCCTCCGGCCAAGTTTCATGCTCCAGTTCCTCATCCGCAGGGGAGGAGGGGGAGATCAGGAAGGCAAAGCCCGGCCCCGAGAGCTGTCAGATCTGCGGCGCTGAGGACGGAGCTCAGGGATCCGCAGCATCCTCCCGCGGGCTTTTGCTTTGAACCGGCCCCGGGGTTTGTTTTTAGGGCGTGCAGGGTTCTGAGACGCATCAGATATTCAGCGGCGTTTTGTGTGGTGCCTCTGCTTTCCGTGCGATTTGAGAAATGCTGTTTTTACACACGGCTTCCACATTTCCGCCGTGTTTTAAGCGGCCGCGCACGGACTCCCCGCTCCAGCCCGGGAGATCCATCCCTGCGAGCCGCTGCTCCGGCGGCTGGAGCGGCTTTGGCGCAAAGGCTGCGAGTGCTGGCAGCCATCCCGCATCCCAAAATATCCCCAGCGACGTGCCAGCCCCCTCCTAACCCCATCCCGCTCTCCGCAGGGCTCCGTGGATTGTCCCAACCTGGAATTTGAGTACGGGGACGCCGACAGCCACGGCGCTGAGCTGGCAGGTGAGGCAGGTTTTGGGGTGCTGCGTTGTGATTTCCAGGCGCCCGGCGGGCAGGGAAAATGAAAATCCCGCCGGGATGGGGGATGGATGTTGAGCGGTGCCGTCCCTGCGGTAACGGAGCAAGTGGGCTTTATTATGAGAGAGCCGCTCGCTCCCTGGGGACGCGGAAGGGACGCGGGGGTTATCCCCATCACCCCGGGCACAGCGCCGGGGCTGGCAGGAGGGCGGAGTGTCCGGGGACAGCGGGAGGTGTCACCCTTCATCGGGCGGCTCTGTCCTTGTCCCCTGTGCTCCTGCTGTGTGGCGGCTCCAGCTGCTTCTGCTCTGTAGCCCCCGGTCCCGAGCGCGTTCCGGAGAAAATGGGGTTATATTTAGCTCCGTGTATCTCCGCCGCACGAGCTGGCCTGGCAAAAACACATTTCCTCTGCAAGGGATCCTTCCTCCTTCCCTGCAGGATCGCTTCAGCCCTCCGTGGTGCTGCTCAGCACCTCAGGAGTGTAGGGATTCTCTGGGAACGGGTAGGAATCCTATAGGAACAAGTAGGAATTCTATGGGAACAGGCAGGAATTTCAAAGAGCAGGTGCAACATCGTGTCCCTCCAAGTCCAGCCCTTATTTGCAAGACCCAAAATGTCTGAGCTGCTGGGTGGGGGATCAGTGCAGGTCCTGCCCGGGTGTTCCTGCATTCCCTTCATTCCCAAACTCTTAAGTGAGACTTAAAAACCCCAATGAAATTGCAAATGCAGCTGGAGCGGGAGCTGGGAACAGCCCTGCCAGGACACGGGGACAAGTTTGGTGGCTTTGGGTGGCCACAAGGTGCCCTTGGAGCTGCAGGAGAGCTCAGAGACCAGTTGTGATCTCTGTCCCGTGTCCGCCGGGGTGCACAGGAATTTGGCAAGGAATTTGGGAATGAGGAGGAGGGTGAATCCCCTCCATGTCCCTGCTGATCCCCTGTCTCCACCAGAGCTGTACAGCTACACCGAGGAGCCTGAGCTGAGCCACAACAGGAGATGCTTCGAGGAGGATTTTCACACTCAAGGTACCAGCTCTGGGCTCAGCACCCCTTGCCTGGGGCAAGAACGGGACCCCCAGGGCAGCCCCCGGCTGGAGGCCGTGTCCCTTTTCCAGTGCCGGACAGGAGGTGGCTGGAGCTGGACAGGGCTCAGCAGAAGGCCTACGTCATGCGCCTGCTGGATGGGCTGGAGGTGGTCAACAGGGACAAGAGGCTCAGAGTGGCACGGGCCATCCTGTACCTGGCACAGGGTAAGGACACGTCCCCCATGGCCGGATGTGGCCACAGATCCGCTGCCACGGGGTTTTGGGAGAAGCCTTTCTTGGGGTTGTGCCACGTTGGTGCAGTGAAGCTCCTGTGGACTCCAGGGGTTCAAAGGGAGATCCTCCCTCACCAGTGTTTTTCTTTGGGGCCTCTCCAGGTGTCTTTGGGGACTGTGATAATGAAGGTGATGTCCTGCACTGGTCTCGGCACAACAGCTTCCTCCTGTACCAGCTGGGAACCTTCTCTGCCTTCCTGGAGCTTCTCAACATGGAGATTGAGTGAGAGGACTGTGCTGCCCTCGCCCACCTCTCCCTCCTTGTCCTCTTTGTCACTTCATTCTTTCTTCTCACGCCTCCGCTTCTTGGACTCAATAACCTTGGAGGTCTTTCCCAACCAAAATGATTCTGTGATTCTCTGATCTGCTTTCTCTCCTTTTCTTCCATTCAATTTACTCTCCTCCTCTTCATCCTCTTCCTCCCAACTTTCCTCACCTCCTTTTTCCATCCTCCTCTTTCTCTTCTACTTCCACTGTCTCATCTTCTCACCTTCCTTCTTTTCATCTTCTTTCTCCTCATCCTTTTCCTCTTCCTTCTTCTCCTCCTCTTTATGTTTCTCATCTTTCTCAACTTCCTCCTTTTCATCTTCCTTCTCCCTACCTTCCTCACCCTTTTCTCCTCACCCTCCTCTTCATCTTCTTTCTCCCCATCCTCCTCACGCTCTTTTCAATCCTCCTCACCTTCTTTCTCCCCATCCTCCTCCTCCTCGGGAGGTGCCACAGCCATGTCACGTGCCCCGGGGTGGCATTCCCAGCGCTGCAGATGTTGGCTGGGGTGGGGATGAGGGGGCTGGTGCTGAGCCCGTCCCTCTCCTGCAGGAACAGCCAGGCCTGCAGCAGCGCCCTGCGGAAGCCGGCCATCTCCCTGGCCGACAGCACGGAGCTCAGGTATCCCCTCAGCGCTGGGAGGGGTGTGGGACAACCTCTGGGGACACAGTGGCCTCACACCTGCCTGCCGTGCTGTCCTGGCAGGGTCCTGCTCAGTGTCATGTACCTGATGGTGGAGAACATCCGTGTGGAGCAGGAGATGGATCCCCCCGAGTGGAAAACCTGCCGGGAGACCTTCAGGATGGAGCTGAGTGAGCCCCAAAGTTCATTGAGCCCTACTGAGGTCCCTTTGTTGTGCTGGACAGTGGGAAGAGCTCAGGGACAGGGGATCGGCTCTGATCCCGGTCCCTTCTCCACAGGTTTCCCTGTGCACACTGAGGAGCCGTTTGCTCTGCTGCTCTTCACGATGGTGACCAAGTTCTGCAGCGGCCACGCTCCGCACTTCCCCATGAAGAAGGTCCTGCTCCTGCTCTGGAAGGTGCTCCTGGTGAGTGCAAGCCCTTCCTGGCTCCAGAAACTTTTATTCTGGAACAGTGCTGCTGCAGCCTGGACGTTCCCCACCATTCAACCCGACCATGAATGGGGTTCTTTAGGATGGCACCGGGAGCTGACACAAGGAAACAATTCCTTCTGGGATGAGGGTGGGCTGAGGGTGTGGGGTGGGGGAGGACTCTGGAGAAGGGACGAGTGCCGCGGTGCGTTCCTCTCGGTTCTCCCCGCTGATGGCC